TGGCTGATCCTCAGCCCTGCCCTAAGAGGCCCCGGGTCTCAGTGTCCCGCGGTAATCACTGCAAGCACCTCTGAGAGAAAGCTGCCCTCGAGTTCCGTCCGATGCCAGACAGTCCAGTTTCTTCCCGTATGAGTCTGGGTCCCCAGAGACTCGCCCAGAACTGGAGTCGGGGCCGTCGGGAGCTTGTGTCTCCCTCCTGATTGAAAAAGACAACTGTGTCCTCAGTTGCCAGCCCTTTCTGTGCACACCTCCGTACCTCTGTACTTTACTTCCACAGCTCCTCTGAGTCTCAGTGTACTTTTCTCTTTCCTTCTAGTTGTAGAATTTCCACTCAGCCAGCCTTCCTGTGGTTCTGGATGATGTCTGTTTTGTCTTTTAGTTGTATTTTTGAAGTGGTTGTGCGAGGTAGCAATTTCTGGTGTTTGCCTATGCTGCCATCTTATGCTTCTTTGAGAAGTCTTTTCTGGTAGCCTTTCTCATCTCTGAACTTCGACTTAGTTGGGACATAAGTTAATACTTCATTATTGTTAAGTTCTTTGATCTCTGTTAGTTTTGTGTCACCAACTTGATTGACTTCAAGCTCTTTGAGAACTGAAGTAATTTCTTACATATCTTAATATCCTTATCGTGCAAAACATATAACGAGAGCTTGATACTAATGATTATTTATTACAGGCAGAAAGTAAAATAGAAGCAGTATATCATTTTATGTTTAATAAGATTTCTTAGTAGCATGGAAGGACCTGGAGAGTATCGTGCTAAGTGAAATAAGTCAGAGAAGGACAAATATCACGTGATCACACTCATATGTGGAATCTAAGTAACAAAATAAACTGATGAACAGAGTAGATCCAGAGAACATGGAAGCATGGAATAGAGTTTGGACTTTCAGAGGGAAGGTGGGTGAGGGTGGGTGGGTAGGAGGTAATCAACCAAAGACCTTGAATACATATATGCATAACCCATGGACACATAATAGGAGCTAAAGGCCTGGGTGTGGGGCGGGAGGCAGGCTGGAGGAGGTCAATGGGGGAGAAATGGGGACATATGTAATACGTTCAACAATAAAGAATTATTAAAAAAAAAAAAAGATTTGTTAGTGTCCAAAACGTAGTCTTATTAGTATTTTACTTTGTTTTAGGTTCCTAAATATTTGTCACAGCAGTGGGCTAAAGCCCCTGGAAGAGGTGAAGTCGGGAAACTGCGGATTGCTAAGTAAGTTGTTTATATATTTTTGGCATTTTAAAAAGCTGTTTAAAAAATTTTCGTAAGTGCTTTTATTTTTCATTTTTCTTTTAAAATATATTTTATTGATTTTTTACAGAGAGGAAGGGAGAGGGATAGAGAGTTAGAAACATCAATGAGAGAGAAACATCCATCAGCTGCCTCCTGCACACTCCCCACTGGGGATGTGCCCGCAACCAAGGTACATGCCCTTGACCGGAATCGAACCTGGGACCCTTGAGTCCACAGGGCGATGCTCTATCCACTGAGCCAAACCGGTTAGGGCTTCATAAGTGCTTTTAAATGGAATTACAGTCCTAGCCGGTTTGGCTAAGTGGATAGAGCTTTGACCTCTGGATTGAAGGGTCCCTGGTTCGATTCCGGTCAAGGGCACGTGACCGGGTTGCAAGCTCTATCCCCAGTAGGGGGCTTGCAGGAGGCAGCCGATCAATGATTCTATATCATCATTGATGTTTCTATCTCTCTCTTCTCCCTCCCTCCCTGAAATCACTAAAAATATATTTTTTAAAATTGTCATTCTTAGGAATTCGGTTTGAAATTTATTTTAAAAAACATGGAATTTCACTCCTTTTCAGAATTTTACCTGGAAAATGAGATGTAATGAGTATGTCAAAGTTAGTCAAGAGATGGTTAGATGCCCTGTAGGGACCCATGTGTGCACACGGGTACATGCACAAACACACTCGCACTGCCCCCCTACTGACAGGTGTAAATATAAAGTCAAATTTATTGGTGAAAATTTATAGGCAGTAAAGCAGCAGAATATGTAGTTCCCTCATTTCTCCATCCTTTCCATATCTTGTGAGAAGGTGTACTTGAATTGGCATAACTGGATGTGTCAAATTAAGTTCTTCAGTAGAAGGATTTTGCCATTGTGCCACAGTTTAAAGTGGTGTCACTTAAAAGTTTCTTCATTACAGGTAGGGAATACCTGGTAAACAATGTAACTGTAGCTTCCTGGTGGAGAAAATGGCCTTATTAGAAAGGGAATCCTACCAAGCTCAGCCAGTGGCAGCCAGAGGCCTTGTGTTCTATTCTTTCTGTCCATTCATTCTTAATCTAACTCTAGCCAGATTTCCATGCCTGCTTTGAAACAGCTCTTGTTTCTCACCATTGTCCTTTTCTTTATCAAGATTTTGCTTCAAAGCAAACCACCCCAAAATGTAGTGGCTTAGAACAAAAACCATTTTCTTTGGGGCAGTCCTGGTTATGGCTGGCTTGGCTAATTTTCCTGGCTAGAATGGCCTCACTCGTGTCTTGTCTTTGGCTTGCTGTCAGCTGGGGCAGTGGCCATGTGTATTTCATCTCCAGCATGCCTGTTCACATGGTGGTGAAAGCAAAAGAGAAGACACCCCAATCCCCAAGCACTTTGCAAGTCTGTTCTTGCATCTTGTTTGCCGAAGCCCTAGTCACCAAGGCTATTCCCACAGAGATGCCCAATTTCAAGGGTGGAGCAATAGATTCCACCTTGTAGTGTGAGTTACTGCAAGAATTTGTGATCCATTTTTGTAGTCTTCCACATCTGTATTCCTAAATCTAACAGCCAGCTAGCAGCCCTATTAATTGACCTTTAACAGAATTTAACATAGATGATCACTTCTATCCCCAAACCCTTTCTTCACTTCACTTCCGGGACACCACTCTCTTGATTCTCCTCTTTCCTCACTGGGTGTTCCTTCTCAGACTCTATTGCTGGTTTCTTCTCATCTCTCAGTCTCTAACTGTTATATGACCCTAGGGCTCAGTGTTTAGTTCTTTTCTTCTCTCTCTTTGACTGACTTCATAGGTAGTCTCATCTGGTTTCATAGAATATCAGGTTGTATTTAAAGATATCTGAAGTATGGCCTCTCCTCTGATCTCCAAGACTCATATATCTGACCACTTTGATATTTTCTTTTGGATGTCTCAGAAGCATCTTAAACTTAATAATTGCTCTTCCTCTGTTCCTTCTTTCTGGAACACTCTTCCTTTGAATCCCCAAGGCTAGTATTAGTTCAGTGAGGCCTTTTCTAATCATCCTCTCTCTCCCTCTCCCTTCCCCTCTGAAACCACCTCTGATCTATAAAAATATTCATATTGGTTCTGTATACAGCTATGTGCCTTTTTATTTTTTATTATTATTTTTTTGTTAATCCTCACACGAAGATATTTTTTCATTTATTTTTTTTTTTTTTTTTTTAGAGAGAATGGAAGGGAGGGGAGGAGACAGAGAAACATCGATGTGAGAGAGACACATTGAATGCTTACCTCCTGCATGTACCCCCACAAGGGCCAGAGACTGTGACCCTTCAGTCCGCAGGCCCACTCTCTAATCACTGAGAAAAACTGGCCATGGCACTATTTTTTTTAAAATATTTTTTTATTGATTTCAGGGAGGAAGGGAGAGAGAGAGAAACATCAATGAGAGAGAATCATTGATCAGCTGTCTCCTGCACGCCACCTATTGGGGACTGAGCCTGCAACCTGGGCATGTCCCCTTGACCGGAATTGAACCTGGGACCCTTCAGTTCACAGACTGACACTCTAGTCACTGAGCCAAACCAGCTAGGGCCAGGGTGCTATTTTATTCTTTAGTTCCAAAAGTGAGATAGTTAGAAAATCAAAATGTGAACATTTTTTTTCTAATTAAAAATATTTATTTATTATTTTTTGGGGGTGGGGGGGACGGGGACGGGGACATAAATTTGTTGTTCCACTTATTTATGCATTCATTAGTTGTTTATCATATGTTTCCTGACCGGATATCGAACCCACAACCTTGGCATATCAAGCTGACACTAACCAACTGAGCTACCCGGCCAGGACAGAATGTGAACATTTTTATTTTTAAGGCATAAGTTTTTCCTGCTGCTTCTCCAAAAGTATATAACCTGGACATCTTTTTTGCCTAAAATACCCACTGTTTGTATGCAAGGACTATACCTTTTTGGGGGTGGGAGGGTGTCACTTTAAAGTTTCTTCATTAATCCATTCAGCTGTGGAGTTTGGATTTGGTGGACACCCTCTGGATTTTGTTCTTTGGAGGAGAAATGCTGTACTTTTGGATGATGTCATGTTTTAAACATAGTTTATACACTAAGTATTTTGTTCTTTATTTTACTAACTTTTGTTTAAAAATATGCTTTAAGCCCTGGCCGGTGTTGCTCAGTTGGTTGAGCACCTTCCCAAGAGATCTCTGGTTCAGTTGCTAATCAGGGCACATGCCCGGGTTGTGGGCTTGATCCCCCAGTAGGGGGCGTCCAGGAGGCAGCCATCGATGTTTCTCTCCCATTTTGTTTTAACAAGATATGGATTGGAAACAGGCATGCTTTTATATCCAGAGTTCTTAAGGTTAGGTAGAGACAGGCAGTTTCTTTTTTTCTGAAAAAATAACTACCCAGCCAGCACTGGTTAGAGTGTCGGCCCGCAAACCGAAGAGCGTCGGTTCAATTCCCAGTCAAGGGCATGTACCTAGGTTGCAGGCCCAATCACAGCCCGGGTTGGGGTATGTGCAGGAGACAACTGATGGATGTGTCTCTCACACATTGATGTTTTTCTCTTCTTCCCCCGCCCCCCTCCAGTTGCTCTAAGAATCAGTGGAAAAAATACCCCCAGGTGAGGATTAACAACAACAACAAAAAACCCCACTACATATTTAATAGCGGAACCAGGCTTGAATTCAGCCTTTGAGTAGTTAGAAAACTCAAACAGGTTCTAGTTCCAGCTCTTTCACTTACTTTGTATAGGTCATGTAATCTGTGTTTAGATCCTTATCCCTAAAATTGCCTGTTTTGTAGGCCTTTTATGTGAATTCAGTGAGATAATATGGAAATTATTTGTTTATTTAACTTATAAAGTGGACATATTCCTGGAAAGTTGTAGATAAATCACATTTTTGTGAGGTGTTCTACTCTTGTTAAAATAAAAATGAATGTATACTTTTAAACAAAATCTGTGGTGGTCTTTTTTCTGGAATCCTTGGTAATACAGATAATTACCTACTTTTTGTTACAGACTTCAGACTATCTTATAATTGGTTTTACTGGAAATGGGAGCCATATAATAAAATCTCAGAATTGTATGTCACTGAAAAAAGGCAGGCTAAAGGAAAAATATATTTAAATAATGAACACGCAGTATTGTAAAATGACCACACCAGAGCTCAAGCCTGGGTCCTAGTCCTAAGTGGCTGTCAATCATTACCTTTGGCCTTGGGCCTTATACATCTAAGACTTAGGTTTCTTGTTTGTAAAATGTGGATAATAATGCCTTCCCAACCTATTCAGAGAGTGTTTATGAGACAAATGAAATAGCTTATAGTTTCTTTAAATGCTTTGTAAAATCAACTGATCTTTCTTTGTTTTGGTTTTTTTACTTTTATTTATTTACTAATGGCCCGGTGCATGAATTCATGCACATTGAAAGTAAATTAATTAGAAGAAATATTTCAATATCACTATTTGCCCTTCCTCTGTAATAGAAATGTCAACCAAATTCACAATCGACAATGACAGATCAAAACACGTGTGTGATTGGCGGCAGCGAGAGCTTTATATGTATTGCGCATGTGCGAGTCATCTTAGCCTTTTGTAGATACAGAATAAACTTGCTTAATTAGACCTGCTTTCTGATTTAGCTAAACTTCTTCCAGCCCAGTGAAGCACCCAACTTCTCTTTCAGGTAATTGTCAGCAACACAGCAATAAATATTAACACAAAGCAGTGTAGATCATGCAAGGAGAACAAAGGGTAAAATATTTAACTGCAACAGTATTTGACTATATTTTGCGCAGTGAGAAAACCTGAAGTCATTTTCAGGGTCCACCATTTCTTACTTCTTTTCAGTCGGGTCAGGTTTCTAAACTTTCTAAATCTCTGTTTTTTTGGCTAATGAAAAGAAAATAGGATTCCACCAAGTCTCCTATTTACCTACTCCAGGACTTCTATGAGGATCAAATGAGATGAGGCATGGAAAATGCTTCACAGACATTT